GAACAACAAAACATACACAAATGAAAAGAAAAGAAACATAAACACAAACAGAGAAAATAACAAATATAAACACATAGAACAACAAAACATACACAAATGAAAAGAAAAGAAACATAAACACAAACAGAGAAAATAACAAATATAAACACATAGAACAACGAAACATACACAAATGAAAAGAAAACAAACATAAACACAAACAGAGATAATAACAAACATAAACAAATATTTCTTTTACTAGTGATTATACGCATACGAACATATCCAGTGTGGCGAACACAAAGAAAACACAAACACGTAAACAGAGAGAATAATTAATTGGCTCGCGTCAAATTCGCACCTATATCATATTATATCAAACGACACGCGCATCCGTTTCAGATATCACTAGCACCAAGAGCTAATAATACCTTATTATTATTAGCTCTTGCTAGCACCTATATCAAGCAGTGTACTAGCTCTGTGTGATATACGATAGGCTGATGTGATCGTATTCTGTCTCCAGTGTAGCGACAAGTAATAATCTAAGTGGAAGTTAACATAGGACAGGCGTGCGTATTAGGAAAGGTGATAGTACAGGGACATATAGGGACACCTGGGATCTCGTATGAAAACACACACGTCTACGGCGTTTGACTAATTGACATCGGAAGTAACTAGATGGAGAGAAAACACTCGATTCGCTAGATGTCATTGATTGGCGGGGAAGAGGAAAGGCGTTTCAAAGACGAACGTGGTCTTTAAACTCTTTAAACTCTTTAAGTCTAATTCAAGGAAATAATTATAGTGTTCGTGGACAATGAGAGAGACTTGCTCGTCATGTATATACACAGACGAGTAGAACAGATGGTGATAGATACGTTTTACGATGATTTAATGGAAAACTATATAGTTCATAGAAGCGTGAGTTTGTATTTTTTTCCCGTATTCTGGAAGATTTAACGATATAGAAACACAGCTACTACTGCTGCTGTTGTTGCTATTGTTATTTTTTATTATTTTCCTGCTCCTGCTGCTGCTGCCAATTTTGCTGCTACTACAACTACTGCTGCTCCTTTTGCTGCTGCTGCTGGTGCTGCTGCTGCTGCTGCTGCTGCTGGTACTGCTGCTGCTGCTGCTACTGCTGATCTTTTTGCTGCTGCTATAATGCTGCGTTTGTTGGTGATGCCAATAGAGATCCCATTATTATCACTATGATGTGGATCTCTCCTGTGATGCCAGGCATCACATCAGCTTGTCGAATTCTCGCGAGATCACGAATTATTAACGCGCCGATGATTTATTACATTGATATTAACAGAAGTTAATTTAGATTTGTCTTTATTAACTCCTGATATTAACCAAGAGTAAGATAATAACCCATGGTTATTATAACCATTATTATATGGTTATTATAATAACCTATGGGTTATTATCTTACTCTTGATATCAACAGGAGTAAGTAATCCAGGAGTAATTAAACAGGAGTAACATGCAAATGTATGATTATTTACTCCTGGTTATTACATTTGCTTCGCTATATGACCACAGGCACTTGGAGCGTTTCAATAAAATATAATGCTAAATAAATGCGAAATCGATTTACTACCAAAGTGTTCATGTTTCTAGGCATTTACAGCAAGTTATCGACAATAATAGGCGAAATAGAGTAGAGAAACATCAAGACTTTGGTAGTAAAATTAATACATTTCGTGTTTATTTACCTTTTTTTATCGAGACGTTCCAAGTGCCTGTGGTCATAGCGAAGCAAATGTAATAACCAGAAGTAAACAATCATACATTTGTATGTTACTCCTGTTTAATTACTCCTGGATTACTTACTCCTGTTGATATCAAGAGTAAGATATAATAACCCATAGGTTATTATAATAACC